GCTTCTAATGGGGAAAGTTGCACAATATTTTACTTCAGCCCAGACAAGCTTCGTTTGTGCTCCCAGAGCATAATGGAGGCCACAGCATATCGTGATGAATAAGAGGAAACCAAATTGTGACCGCTGGCACATTGTCACTGTCACAACATAATAGCTGGCGATTTTTTATGTACGCTAGTATAACATATTACCATGCTGCTTCCTCTCAAACCGCTTTACTGGTTCGGATGCTCACTAACTCCCTTTGCTTTAGAACCGAGGAAAACAAAACCCCAAATCAGTAAGTTAACTGATTTTACTTCCTACATCGTTTAACTGCATTATCGCTTGCCCGAAATCTATCCTCTGCTGAGCTATTCACTTCTATTTCATAAAGCACTATATACAATTGTGGTCGAATCACAAATCTTAAGTTTTCAGTGTTCATCGTCTGATATAAACCTACAATATAAAGGCCAAGGTGTTTATTCAGTATTGCACACCAACATTTTATGCTGGATGTGTCGTACGAGTAAAACAGCGAGTTGCTAATTTTACTCGCAACCAATGGATAATCATAGAAATAAAAAATGTGAGAATGTACAGCTATCATGCCGGTATCTAAGTCCAAGTTAAAATAACAAGCGGGTAGCAAAGTACCTGCCGTGCTTACGGAATTCTAGTTGGAACGTTTCAACGATCTCGTAGGACAAGACAATGACAAGGTTTGTTTTGTGCTGCTATCCATAGCATTTCGATTACCTGCAACTCGCAAGCTTTTCACCTAGCGTTTCTCCGTCCAACCAGGCAACTTATACATTGAGTGAGCTTTAGCAATTAGGCCACCCAGTCTGAAAAAGGAAGGACTTCTTGTGTCAGAAATTTCTTTGATGAAACAGAATGTGTCCCACTGGTTCAAAACTGTTTTGAGGAATAAACTATTATACTGCCTCCAGCCGCTGACTGTCTCTCTACACAACCGGGTAATCTATGCCATTTCCACCTATGCCTGTGCGTTGTTTAATTAAATTCATCTGATCGCAAAGCGAAATGCTTTGTTGTCCTCTCGAATTGGTATCGTTGGCATCGGCCCTGATTCCTCGCAGTCGTATGGTTGCCCATTTGTTCGGCCGGCCTCGGTCTACCGAGGTCATTTACGTCATAATCGTGGACTGAAATACTCCGATTCGTTTTACCGAATATCGGCCGTGACATTGGCGTAGCTTACATTCTAGCCAACTGTTAGTGTCCTCAGACATTAACATTCTCACCCCATCGCGTTGGTCACAACGTCCAGCCACAATTGCCAACATTTTTCTCAACACCCACCCCAGGTAAAATTAACCGAGATAGGCCGAACAATCAGGCCAGTATACTATTGCGCGGAATCAGGGCCAATGCCAGTGCCACGAAGTGGACCGGGCAACAAAGGATTTCGCTTCATGATCAAACGAATTTAATTGAACAATTCAAGAACATAGGTAGGAAATTGCATGCTGGATGTCTGATTATCTGGAGACAGGATTGGTCTACGTACTACTAAATGTTTACATTCCGCAAGTCCTACTTTAATGGGCTACCATCAACCGCTCACAAAGTCTTCGTATTATATAGTACATCATGCCTTGTGTAAACCGACTAGTAGATTGTGCCCGCTGGGATGTTCGTTACTGAGCGAAAGAAAATAATTTTGAGATATTATCATGGTACAATTCATTTGGTGTTGATGAGCGTTCTACCACACCATACCTAGTGTTCGACGCTATGGTTTCCCTATTTTTGTGTGATTTATTTTGACGAAGCCAGAAGGACAGAACCTTAATTGACTCTATGGACAACAATTTCTTTCACCCATCCGTTTTGTAGCTGGCTTTACTAACGGAGATCGTACAGATGATGTCTGAGTCAGTGATGTTGTTTCTTGTAGCCGAACGACTAAGGCAGCAACACATCTACTGAGGGACGAAATGCTGTAAGTGCTACTCATTAGCTGAGTTTTCGAGCCTCTAGACTACGTGGACGGAAGTAGAACCCACATATAGCCTCTGGAGCTACAATCAAACAATAAACACCAAATGCGAACTTTGCTTCTGTTTCAGAAAATTGCGGCACTGAGTTGGCGGGGAACTCCGGAAGCTTCTCTTATTTATGGAAACCCACGGAATTTGCGCTTTGTATCTGGCGGATAACCACGGATGTTGATGGCGGCGTGCACCTCTTCTTCTCCAGACTGAGCGTAAGTAGGGTAATTTTAACATTCAAACGGTACACAGAATAGGATTAGGTTTATTACCATTCTCATCTTGAAGGATGATAGCTTGGAGTATCTGTTGATTAACCGACACAATCATCTACACGGTTCGCGGCGCGGAATGATACTAGGCAGGGAACAATCAATTTTTTTCTATTGTGACAAAGTCTATGGATAGACTTGCATCTATGTTTATCCAAACTGATTATACCAATACGATAAAATCGTCGATGAGTGCGAAACGCTATAACTTTAGTGAATCGTGATGCTAATCGTTCTCTATTTCTGTACCTTGGGGCACAGGTGAAATCTAATAGCTCTTGGATTCGCGTGTTGGATGGAAGTACCTGTGAAGCCGAACCGGTGGTTTTCAAACTAGGGATCGAAGCGACGAAGCCCTTTGAAGTCGTCACCCGTTCACATACCGCAATGGTTGTGGCGTACTTTTCCGAAGCATCACTAAGTGACCAAATGGAATGTCATTTTGCAAGTAGTAAGTTGTTACTCATTTACCTGGGTGTACATACTGCTGAAGGCAGTGTAACACAAAGCGAAATCCTTGAAAATGAAAGTTTGTTATCCGACTTTGTAAAATTGTGCCGGCAATTTTCAGATGAAGAGCCAAAATGGATTTAACCAAAGGATACGTATGGACCGTCCATGTTACTTGAGGTGCCGTACACAAAGTAATCGCACTGGGAGCTTATAACCCATATTTGGAAACTTGCACTTTACCTGTAATGAAATAAAAGGAGCACTCTTTAACCTTACTGCCCAACAGTTTTAGCTGCGTCAGATGTCGACCGAACATTACATAGACTGTTACAAACCCTGTAATTGGCGGCGAGCACCAGGAGTTCTCGGTTGGTGCGATTGTAAAAGATTTAATGGTACATCTCTTAGTTTTGTGTAGTTCAATACAACACATTAGTTCTAAGTAGGTTGGCTCCGTCGGTAGGTTTTAGCTAACTAACTAAAATTATATTTAAATACTTCATCTAAATGAATAGGAGAATTGGCACATTCTCACTGCGGTACACATTGCACCACGTTTACATTCTCAGTAATGACCATGCAGCGTCTAGCAATGTGTAAAGTTTATTATTCAACTTGCAAGTGCATCATCTCGGTGGAAAACGTGGGAACATAATCTTTATAAACTACATGAGGCGATTTGTAATTATAATTCAACACTTTTAAACAAAAGCTTCTTCCGCATTTTTCGTGGCCTAAAGGATCACAAGGCTGCGCGTGTTCGCGTCTGCGTAGGGGGTCAGAGCGATCCTAACACTATCCACAGTCCACACGCATGGTTATGTGGCTGCGAAGCGTTGGTGCTGCATACCGGCGTACTCTACTGATGCGCTAATCCACTCAGCCATTGTTGCACTTTAGATAAACTTCTGCTGTTTGATGTTTAGGTTTCAGGCTTTCCGTTTGTATAGTTTCCTTTGAATTGTCATTAATGACACGCAGCGGTTAAGAAGAGCTATGTATATTGGTACGCGTACAATGAACTCGGATGAACCTCATCTCGTCCGCAGAAAGTTCACAATGTATCATTCTTGTGATTGAAATTGCGATAGTCGGTACAAGTCGTAAGTAGATCAGAATCAAAATGTGCTTCACCGAGTAAGGAGTTGATCTGTGTAGTGTTACTTTTATGAACATCTACTAAGGGAATCGTTCTACAAGAGACAAGGGATAGTGGGTCTCTAAATAACTGTCGTTTCTCAAGTACTTTCGACTGCTGTACGAAAAGTAAGAAAAGGTTATGGAATTGTGGTATATTCACGTCTTGATCTTGTCAGTTTAATTTTTCATGTTTCCTGATGCATTTAATGATTTTTGTAGGAATTGATAAATACCAGCATGCCAACTTAGACTAGCGTATATCATTACCAGCCCAACTGGTCAAACTTTCAATAAATAATTGGAGCTTAACGAAACTGTACCTTCCCCTTTCGCACTGGTTTGAACTAACTCAACTTGTTACAAATCTTAATTCAGTATTTACAGGAGAATTAGTGGAAGTTTCGGGAGATCTAATTCTTTGTAGAATACTCACGGAACTCATTCTCAAGCTTTCGGTTGTCGTTCACACCGTCCTTCTATCTATCTCATTTCTAATAATATTATTATTTACTTTTACGATAACGATTACCTTTTAAGGTGTGGTTGCACCTACAAGAACCTTTCGTAATTCCTCCGGTTAATTATGCACGACTGTCTTTCGTTCACAGATTCCTGAATGACGAACGGGGCAGAGTCAATAACTGTACCCTTCCAATCCACAGGTTTCTGTTCCAAAAGCTTAACGGTTTGGTGGTAATTGGTCAAATATATCTAAGGTTGTATACCAGACTAATCTTTTTTATTCAAGTTATCAGCACATTAGCGCTTGCTGAAGAAAGCCTAGAAAACCGGAACAGAAGAGCAACACAGGTTATTTGAAAATTCCCATGTAAGTCTCCAGAACGAAAGACCATCTAGAGAGCAATTGTTTTCAATGATTCATCATCAGACCATTACAATCATTTGGAGGCTTGAAAGAAAAATCCATCCAATTAGTTGAAAACGACTTGATTACGTGAAGGTCTATGTCAGTGTTGCGGAAACGAATGAGGCCTTAGAGGGCTAGTTGTTTGTTACGTCTGACCGAAGGTAATCTACCTGGGCGCCTTCCCTCTTCGCTGGCCAGGGAAGCTGGAGAACATGGACCAGCTTCTTCTTTTAGCATAAGGACGGCTGGAACAATCAGCTGTCACAAGCGTACGAGGGCGGTAACCTTTCGCTCGGTGCAGCTGAACCTTGTAAACTATTCGGAAAGCGCGTTTCCAATCCACCTCATGGCCGGTGTCTACAAGGTGGGCCAGAATGGCGCTACTAATGGTTCCTTGCAATGGTCTGATGATGCATCATTGAAGGTAATTGCTCACCAGATGGTCTTTCGTTCTAGTGACAATACAAGTTAGGCTAAACCTAGCGCTTTAATGATTATAATTTTAATTGTGTAATCTAAATGATGAAAAGCACTGACAAGCATAGGCTTGCATTGTTGACTGGAGCCTGTGGTAACATAATGGGGATGTCGTTGCAAAATGAGAAAAGTCGCTGGTACCGTGCCTTGATACTATCAAGTATAATGGGTTTTACTCAGTCGAGTATGTACAAACAGAGCCTTCTGCCTGTTGACTTGACACCACTCGTTAGGAAAATAATACGTAAAAATTACGCTAGCAATATGGCTCAAGAATTCATACGAATGAGTATCAAACGTTACGGTTAGTTAGTATGTGCATGTGAGAGTTATAAATAATGAAAAAATAAGCTACGCATATTGTGCTCAAAATTGCAAAAAGAGAGACTTAGAGTGATAAAATACACAGACCTATGAGGCGATTTGCAAATAGGTATGAAGCACGTTGGTCAAACGTTTCTTATCTTTACTAGTTGGATGTTTGATTTGCTTGAGCAACAAAAAAACTTTACCAAGGTTGAGTGCCTATAATTCGAGTTTCATTGTAATGATCTCGCTTGGGACTGCTGACAGCATGCTTTTAACCAATACGTTAAATTGGGATGTGCAGGCTCTCTGCTCTTAGCAAAATCAGATAGGGCCTAATGGACGCAGGAACAAGCTTTACAATGTGGACTTTTCGATCGATGATTGGTGCTTGACAGAGCTGCTTTATAAACACTGGCGTTACGATAAAATATACTAGCATGCTGACCAGACTACCAAGATGCAATTTCATACCATAAGCTCAATAGGTAGTTTTTACGGCACTGGAAAATGGGTTTTCTAAATGTATTCCAGTCCACTGTCGTATTGTCTGTCATCCCAAGAAGTAGCACATAATTCCCCATTCACACATGATTTACAAGTTTCCGAAATCTTGTGACAAAGTACTGCAGGCCACTTTCATTGGCCGACATTTAATGAAAGCTCCATGCCACAAGATTATGGTTCCACGATATGATGTGTTTGTCTAGGTAATTGAAATGTCAGCATAGGGACAAGCGTATTTATCCCTCTAGGTGTGGAACGGACTATGTAAGTGATTAATTAATTACTTAATTACTTAAGTAAGTAAGTGAGCTAGCGAGCGGGTTAGTGAGTAAGTAAGTAAGTGTTGCAACGCTGCCCTTGCCTCAAAGTAGAGATGGCGTTTCTGGGGACTTTGAGCCTCGCCACAATTCGGACGCAACTGATTGGCGTGCTTGACTCTTTTGTATTTTCCTACCATTATCTCATGGATGACTAGACCATTTCCGCTGAGCAGTTTTCCTCTTAACCACCTCCTCGGTTTTCGGCAGTCTTGCACCTACACCATATCAGCTAGTTTGAAATGATGTAGACTGGCAGTCAAGTATTCCTCCACTTGACAACTGCCATGCTTTTCTTTCCTTGCGTTCGGCACACAACGTTTTGGTCTGAACAGTGGTTTGGCGTCTTGTTTGAGATTCAGCGCGGAGTTGGTCATCCTGCAGCATCTGAATCCAGGTTTGACCATTGCTTTCTGGCGTCTTTTCATCCGCATACACTGACTTTAAACCATCAGGTTTGATGCCCATGGCTGCGACTGCTGTTTGACTTAAGGTGGCTGGTGTACAGTGTTTAATGTCTGATCAAGCGATTTACACTCCGCCATCCAATCGGATCCCAGCAAATCTAGCCCCGATCGCTCTGTCACAAAGGATTTTATGTGCGTCTGTTCGCCCTCGGAAATTGACGACAGTTCATATCAAAAAGCAATTTTTACCTACCATCTGAAGCGTTTGGTGCCCTGTGTTGGCTGCCCCAGCATGCGCCACGCGTCGCTAGGGAGCAGAGTGATATCTGAAGCAGTACGAAGTTGTAACTTTACTTGCCTACCATAGGTTTCCATCATCGTGTACTTACACTCGTTAACGCCATCAACCTTGAAATTCGCGATGATCGAACTGATCCCATTGGTTCCTTTGGATGGTGTGACAAATATGCGCTTCTTCTCCGTCAAATAGAGACACTTGCCAAGCAACACAAATTTTTACGTCTTCTTAAGCCACATCAGTTGCAAACGTGTTTCTTAAATGGACTGCTTCAGACAAAATTCCATGGTCTACAAAGTCAACAAGCAGTGGGACGTTTGAAATGTAATGGACTTACTTGAGTTACTACTTTTGGAAGATCCGTTTGCGAAAATGAAGACATGCTCTTTCCTATTAGGCAACTGCTGACTCATTGATGTAATGTGCTTCAGGTTCGTCATCCTTTGGCACTTACCGGTCAATTGCTGCAACCTGATGCCAACATACTTTTTAATCTTGCTCAGTATTCTTGTTCTAATGTCTTTGGTTGCTTGAAACCGAAAACTTAAATGGGACGCAGGTATTGGTCACCGGTCATTTCGAGTAACTGTGGTCGCAAGCACTTGCGATTCGATTCAAGTCAAAAACTGCTTTATACCCTTTGACGCGAGAACATGCGGCAACAAAACACACGTAGGCTGAAATGTACTGAAATATAAACAATTACGGAAAATTGCCGTAAATCGGTTTGATAAAGAACGGACAGAACTGTCATCATACTGCGAATCGACTGATTAGGTCTAGAACGATAGATTTGGGGTTTCACAGAAAACGCGAAACATAAGAGATAACCGACGATTGGTAGGCTTGTGCGTGAGAAATATTTGCTTGTACTTTGCCTAGTAGACAGAGTTGACAGACATCTAGCTAAAGCGTTGTGATGCGGATGACTAGTATCAGCCAGTGTCTTAGCTACCAGTGTGTGCAGAAAGAAGTGTGTTGACAAAAGTAAGCATCAGAATGACACTGCATCGGGATAAGTGCCGTAAAGATCGGAGAATTGAATTAAAATGCTTACCCAGATAACCGGGATAAGCACTGGGTAGCATTAGGTCCAGTGGGGAAGAACACTGCCAAATCGAAGGATTAACTCACAAGGATGAATAGAGGCTTTCAAAAGAGAGGCGTAGAAAGACAAGTTCCTGACTTTTGTGAAGGATACATTTACAGGAGGAGAAAGATACATCATAGTTGCATACCGCACCTAGGTACTTCATTGATATACCAGAATGTGATCCATCGCCGTCACTAAGCAGCTTGGGACACTGTGTAAGAAGCTGTACGTAACTTATTTCTTTGTGTGGCACTAAAAGTATATCATGGGACTTTGTTGCTTTAAGTGACAGAAGAGGTTCATTGAACCGAATATTGTGGTCGTTCAGATGATCCTGCAGCCTGTGATGAATCGGTGGATCGATGATTGGCGCCCACGATAATGTCGTCAGCATATTTTTGTAAGGTTGCTTCTATGGGGCAGTTTGTGATCTATTGCAAATAGAAAAGGGAAAAGGCGACAGAATTACACCTTGAAGTACACCGGAGTTGGTGCTTATTGAAGTGGAGCATCAGGCATTTTGTCGGGAATTCTTAGTGCTTCCAGCAAACTAATCACTAAGCAAATGGACAATAATGTGAGACGCTCCTTGAGCAAATCGAGCTTTTAGCAGTAATTCGCGCTTTACATAGATGCAAGCATTTTCAAATCAAGGATGTACATACTAATTGATTTAGTTCCGTTTTCAAGTGATGTCTGTGTAGAATGTACGTTGCAGGCTACTGCATTTATCGTAGACCTTGAACCACGATAAATGAATTGAAAAAGGTCAATGGAGCGAGTTTGTGACAGTGTCATATCAAAAGTGATTTCCTTAAGAACAATACAACACTGGCGTGATACTGGCACTTCTCCAACAGTCAGAGATTTGGATTTTCTGCATTCTGTCTGTGTACACAGCTGCAAGTGGGGTTGCCAAAATGTAGCAGATTTTTGAGTACATTATGAGATAAGTTATACGGACCGTCAGCTTTACCGGAATGTAGGTGTTTTACTGTCGAGGGAAGGCAAGGAGTTCACCTACACTGGAACTTGGAAACAGTAAGGCTATCGAGTCATGGTAGTATCGCAGTAACAGAATTGTTTGTTTAATTCCTGTACATTCGCAATGAAACAGGGCGCAAGTCGAGCAAATCCAGTAAGCTGTTTCAGCATCCATCAGAGTTAACGACACCTGTCGTTCCCAAGGATAGCTCCGCTTTGATACCAACATTAAGTCCTTACTCAGGTAACGTCCTTTTCTTAAATTCGTTTTCCTTAATGCTTTACAGTCGCTTCTGGTGAGGAGAGGTGAACATAACAGCGCAAAGGTAGTGAGTTTCCCTAGGACAGCCGATATTAAA